GCTCCTGTTTTACATCGTTTATATTTATAAAAAAATATACAGATACTCTGTCATCTATAGCTACTTTACGTTACAAAAAGTATCTTCAAGGAGGGTCCGGTGAATTTCATAATGAACACCGCGGCTCATGTTGTCTCGGTAGGGATGTCAAAATCATTCGTTATTGTGTCATATTGTCTCACAAAAACTCGTTTGATATACTTTGCAGCAAACCAGCATTAGCTTTTGAAAACGCGTGCAGCTAATAAGTCTAGGAGGCCTGAGTAGCATGCCTAAAACAGCATGAAAAACGATAAAATCGGAAAATGCCCTTAAACTCGGCCTCGTGAATTGCAAATACCACAAGCATAATACAATGACACATACCCTTAAACCTCTCTATACACCTGCGGCCAAATTCGTTATGTATATACTAAATACAATTTGTATGAAATTTTGTAACTTTACTTGAAAATTACAAATTAAAATACCGTAAAAAAAAAGTGCCAATGGGTGGTACTTTTTTTAACTGGAGAACATGAAGCCCTGGGCGTGCGAAGAAAGTAGAGTAGCTTCACGGAGGATGGGCCAGGCTCCTGCTAGATTATTTAGGTGATTGTTGCAGATTTGATGAGGTTAGTGGGGGGGTGCAAGGAGGAGAGAGAGAGAGAGAGAGAGAGTTCTTTTGGGAATGCAGCAGAGTAATAGCGAGAGAATTCTTTATAGGTTTTCTTCTTCCTCCTGTTCTTGGGGTCGATCCTCTTGTGGTACATTCTGCGAACTTTGCCTTGAAGTAATTAAAGGCTTTATCATTTGTTATTGTTGCAATTATTTTCAAAGTATGTATGATATTTTAATTAAGGTAAATGCGTAACGTAATGATAAATTCGCTGTCATTATTATTATTATTATTATTATTATTATTATTATTATTATTATTATTATTATTATTTTTAGTCGTAGAAGCAGTAGTAGTAGAAGGAGCATAATCAATAGTGTCATGATTATTGTCACCCTATTATTACTACCGGTAATATGAATATTAGTGCAGTTTCCATTAAAGTTATTATTTTATACATTATAATTGTTTAATTATTTTTAATTTTCCATTAATATCAATAATATCATTATTATTATCATTACCATTATTATTATTAGTAGTAATAACATTATTAACATTCCTTCTACTACTATTATCCCTCTAAAACACCAAGCTTCTCTCTCCTCCATCAGGCAAAGTATCAAGTCTTAATCCCAGTCCGTCTCCACTACTGTCTTGGTAGCTCGTAAAGGGACAGTCTCTCCAACCCTGTGTGTGTGTGTGTGTGTGTGTGTGGTTCTTTTTTCGACATTTCCCTGAACCATACTCCATATATATATATATATATATATATATATATATATATATATATATATATATATATATATATATATATATATATATATATATATATATATATATATAATAAAAAGTAATAGTAAAAATACATATTATTGAAATAACTTAGAACGTAAAAGCGGGTGTTTAATAATTTGACATTATTATTTTTAGTAGTGGTAGTAGCAGTAGTAGCAGTAGCAGTAGTAATAGTAGTTGTAGTAGTAGTAGTAGTAGTAGCTAATCCAGTACTGTCATTGAAATTAACAGAATCGTGATATATTGATAGTAATTAATATCAACATCTATACCTAATCTTGTCAGGTTCAACATCACCACAATAATGGCGCAGCAACATAAACAGCATACGCGTGATGTTTAGCGTCAGTACAACAACGACTTTATGAATAGGGACTAGAAGTAATAACAGGAATAAACACGGTAAAGTTCGTAGTAGTAGTAAAAGTAGAGGTCAGATGAGGCGTTTTAGTACTGTATTCGCTTTACATGACTGTTAATTCTTAGTTGACAGCGTTAATAAATAGAAGGTTATCGTTAACTTTATGATAGAGTAATTTGTAGTTTTCAAAATTATTGTAAGAAATAATTAATGTCATATAATGAGTAAGCTTTGAGTATGCTAAACAGACACGTTAGGACAAGTGCACTACAGTGCGTCTCTACCTAGCTCTTGATATTTTTTACTTAATTTCCAAAAACTGGTGCGGGTCACTGAGCCACAATCGAGGGAGCTGAGTCCTTCGAGCTACAGCACACACAGTGTGGAGAAAACGCTTGAAACAATGGCTGGCATGTCCGCAGGGGTTTCTCTTGTGCGAAAATTTTATTGTAAATAAAGGATAAAAAAGGACTTCAAACGTTAAGTCAAACTCAAAGAAGGAACTCTTGCCTCACATAAGATATACGACGTACAAGTCAAATTTATTCGTAAAAATAAAATCCTCGTTAAGGAGATTTGAAGAATACTTTCTCTTTTTTCTTACCTTGTGTGAAATACGACCAAGACAACGCCCTGAAGACCTGAGGGACGACCCTGGGAGTTGAGTGCAGGATGAGACGGGAATGTCGGGTGGAAGGAGAGGGTCAAAGGAGGCAGGAGGGTAATTTTGAAGCAGGAAGAGG